TCGGAGCCATCCAAGTATGGACTGAAACCTCCACAAACTGTAAGCTAAATAAACCTTTCCTTCCTTCATTTTGGGCATTGGGTATTTTGTCCCAGCAACGAGAGAAAAGTAACCAAGACAGTCCACCAACAAGAAAGTAACTTGCTACTTTGCATCTGCTCAAAACTTGGGAATACGTGGATTGTTTAAGGAACGACATGTGTTTTAATGCAAACTCAAACCTTTCAAATGTTTAGTTTTAGTAAGGCTTATCCCTGTTGTTCATCCTAAGCAGTCAAATTCCAAATCACTGTTTTTAAAGAACCTAATCCAGTTCTGATAAATAATCAACATACAAAAATCTACACGTATATTCCCTGCCTAGATATTTATTGGGAAAATCCATGCTTATCCTCCAAATCCCAATTTAGATGCTGCCTCAAGTTTGAAACCTGTGCTATGTTGTACATCTCAAGGGAGACGAGGGACAGATATGGATCCTGGTTGAGGAATGGAAACAAAAGATTAATTGGAAGGATCTCAGATACCTTCCAGAACTCAGGAAGAGGTGAACAACTCAGGCTTAGAGATGACAGGAACTAGGATGGCTCCAGAGGTCTCTGCAGCAGCAAATGTGTCTTCTCTCTAGACTCTCACCCTGAGATGGTTTATGACCAGTAACTTTCTATCCATACCCACATTTGAAATTCCAAACAAAGATAAGTTGGCACATAGATCACACCCACCCACTGTAGGAGCCAGAAACTGTGAAGTCTCCCCAATTACTATCACCTGTCACCTTTAACTTGGATTTGAGTTTCTCCTATCCAAAAATCTATTTTGTACCAGCCCTGTTATACTGTTAAAATATTATAAGATGGATAGAATTTTTCCAAATTGAATCCTGTAGAGGACACAGTGACTGATATGTAATAAGCACTAAAAATTATAGTTGTATGGGCCAAATTATATTTTAATAAAGATATTAGAAAGAGATTTCTATAAGTTGTGTAAAAGCTACTAGAAAGCTCCTCAGGAGAGTAACAAGGTGACCTGTTGTTGATATTTCTGAAACTCAAAAACAAGAAGATTCCTTGACACATGGTGCTCAGAAAATAAGTACATGGGGCCAACAGTCAATGCAGTATAGTGACACTTTCATCTT